TTTGCTGCGCCAGTGAAATTTGTGAAAAAGATTACTATAGGGGAACTGTAGGAAACTTAGCATCCTACCAACTCACCTTGAAGCCATATCAACGGCCTCTTTGTTGGGTGGAGGGACAGTGAAGCAAACAGAGGGAACCATCGCCTCATTACCTGCTGGGTTGATGACTTTCCACTTAGCCCGGTGAGAGTTACTGGCCAGTACGCACTCGTCCTCTTTATAAATGGTAATCTGAAAGAGTTGACAAACCGTAACTGATTTACTATAAATGTTTTATATAAACCGAGATTAAATGTGGTGATTCAAGGCACCAATAATAGTACCTCTATCTGGCGATAATCGCAGATCGCTTTAACAGGAATGGAGGATCTTAGCGGATTTTCAGGGTTTCTGGGCTTGAGCTGCACAATATTTTTAGCCCTGCCCACCAGCCCAGCCACAGTGCTGCGGTACTGAAGGAGCTGCTCTTTCTCGTCCTAAGGACACAGAAACCCACAAAAAAAGTTGTTTTCTTCATTTCGCCTTCAAATGCACACACACTTCATATCTTTCTGTCATTTTACCATGGACTCCTGAATGAGATCCTCCAGTCTGTGTAGGCTACTTGTTCGATCACAGCTGTACTTTCTTTGAATCGAATCCTGCAAATTTTTTAGGTAATCCATGGACTCTTTGGCATCACTGAAAAACTGCACAGTGAGGGAAAGAGAGTTGAATTAGATGTGGCAAACACTTTGCTGCATTCGCTGAAACAGTCCACGGCAGCAACTCACCTCAAAATAAATGGCATTCTCCTTGAGATGTTGTTCGACACATGAGCAGAGCTGTAAAATCCAGCTCCACTGGGTCTGCATTGCAGCTTTGTATGCCTTAAAAAGAAACCCCAACATTAATTTTTTCAGATTAAAAAAATACATACATATCTTGGCATCAGAACTGGAAAATTACAAGTTGAATCAGGACTTTATAATCTTGTAATCGCTGTGAGAGATGAATGCAGGGTGGAGTCACTGCTGCTAGTCCAAAATTTGGAATCTTAATTGTCATATTGAGGATGCACAAAGAACACAAAGGGCTTACTTCAATAGTTAGCCTGGCTGGGTGGTTCTTGAGCATAAGGCGCTCTGCCTTGTCCTGCACAGACTTGATGGCTTCCTCCTTTTCATCCAGCTCCCTCATCAGGTCCTATATTAAGACATTAAGCTGAGCATCACTGGCATTCTGCCACGGCATAAAACCAGTTAGTCCATCATCTCACAAAATCTCATATCCCGTCTAACTGATTTTAAGTTTAAAGTTATACATTCAAGCGCCAGTTCCTTTTGATGCGAATGGTGCCTCATTAAATAAATGGAGCTATAACGTAAGCAAAAACTAGAAAGCCAAATCGTTGTTGATGAAAGATTTTACTAGCTTCAACAAGCAAAGACTTACAGCGTGGTAATCCCTTTTTTTGGAGATGTTAATGTTGCGATCGCTCCAGTCAAAGGCAACCTCCTCTTCCTCCTTCTCGTTCAGCCAGATGAGCTCTTGAGTTGCCTGTGATACAAAGTCATGCAGGCTCTCCAGGTGGCTTTGCCGCTCCCTGGATGAGCTCTGAAAGAGACGGGCGAGTCAGACAAAAACAAGCACGTAAGCAGTTGTAGTATTTATTGGAAAGCCATTCATAAATTAGGAATATTAAGCTC